GAAAGGCCTTTTATAGTGACCGCTTCCTAGCCAAATCTGCCCAAACCCACTCAAACCACCAGATCTCAGACCCTATTGCCCAAGCCAAGCCAAGCAAACCACAAAAAGAGCTCTAGAAAATGCCTTTCAAAGCATGAATCCTCTAGAAAATGCCGTGCATATTGTATAGCAACCACAGGCCTCCACTGGAGGGAGGCAGGAACCCAGGAGCGAAAGAGATAACAAAGCTTTAGGCCAGAAAGAAGGAAAACCCAATCCTAGGGAACAAAAAAGTGTTCAAAATATGCATTGAAAGGCATTTTCTAAGGATTTATGTGTTGACAGGCATTTTCTAGAGTCATTTTAGCTTTTGTGTTGTGAACATATTTCATCACGATGAATTTGAACAACATTTGCGCGCAAGCGTTGGTTCTAAAAATTGCTATGCCAGATTCCCGCTGTGACATGATCTCCAAAACCAACTTCTCTATAACATGCGTTGCCAGATCCACCTAGCGTGAACGCACCTTTTCTATAAAATGACTGACCCAATCACATGTCCAGATCCGACCTGCTCCTCTAGGAAATGCCTTGTCAAGAGATCACTAGGCATTCCATAAAGTATCCAGATACAGTCCCAGAACCGCCTCTATAAAATGTAGTTCCATGTCTTCCCAAGACTACCAACAACTACCCTCTCTATAAAATGCCTACCAAAAAGGCATTTTTATAGTGGCAAGGGATCCCCATTTTTTAGAGACCCAGTTGCGGGGGATATCAAGGGTAGTGGCTGGGTGGCTGGGGGTGTTGGATGTAACAGGATCAGCGCGATGCTGGAGAGCCTTTTCTCCCGTCTTTTTCACGATTCTGTTTTTGTTCCTGAACCAATCATCATGAAGCTGATAGGATGCTAAGGCTTTCTGCGCAGGCCTTAGCTCGAAACGACATGTGTTTTCTGGTGGTTCGGAAGTGCCGATGTGTTCGACCGATGACACACCGCGGACCTCTTTGCAGTCGGGACTTCCAAATGCGAACAGCTCCACGTTCGTGGCCGGGAAAACCAAGACGCTCCACGACTGATGTTTCTGCACGACTGATTTTTCAGCATCGAAACAGCAAGACGACCCGTGGTGGTGCAAGTGGTGCTTCCTCCGAATCTGCGCGGTTCCTACACCTTTCCTCTTCTGTACGCCGCTGCGTCACTTGCGCCCGCGACCAGTTGGTGGCACAACAGAAGCCGGCACAGTCTGTCACCTTCGCTCCGCAGAGGTCTGGCACAGATCTTCTGGCCTTCCACAGCCCAAACCCAGACGCTCCATGCATGGTATATTTACCTACATTGGGGTGGTTGTGGGGGTGCATGGTGTCTGGGAAAGGGCTGCGCAGAGAGCGCCCTGAGATCTTCTGTAAGCACGGTTCCGTGTTCGTGTTCCACGTGCAGATTTCTGGCTTCTTGCAGGCAAAACTCTCGAGATCAGTTGTTCTATGTTGGGGTCCTTACCAGTATACCCATATAACATACCCCCAGATTAATGTTAGTTATATATATATTCCGCATACTACCATACTTCAAATAGAAGTAATCGAGACTGTGTTGAGATTTTGGATTATTTAAACAGAGGGACAAGTGGTAGGTATCCTTAAGCAAACGCAAAATCAAGTATCTTGAACTATATATTATTGAATAAATTTGGACATCCTTCGGCTGGATACCGAACCATTCAGAATCCTTCAAAATCAGAGACTGCAAAGACAGAAACATTTTGAAATTATTCTGCCGGTTGTTGACATCAGGGCAAGGGCTGGAATAAAAAACTTGAAACGTTACATCATGCCAGATTCATTTATATAAGAGTAGACACAAAACAAGAAATACAGAATATATCCAAAGATCAGAAAACAAATGCCTAGGCTCCAAGTACTTTCTAAGAAGGTGTTTGGGGTGGGTTTAGAGGGTCCAAATACCTTCTGAGGAGGTACTTGAAGCCCTAGGGAATGATAATATATGGTTTTAATTGAACATATCTAAATAGCATCCTTCGCATCGGCGCTATTCGGAGGCGTGTCGTTGACGGCTGCGCTAAGGCGCCGCAACCGGAGAGGTCGCCACAAAGCCCAAGGTTGCTGTAGGCAGCAGCCCCACCAAGCTGCTTATCCGCGAACCAGCAGTGCAAAAAAAAACGCTGAACCCACCGCGTGATCGCAGTGCTGAGCGTGAATGTGCGCGTCCGGGGGGGCGGCGACTGGAAGGTCCTGCGTGGCTTATCCAAATGGCTCATCTCAACTTTTAGCTGCAGAAATCGGTGCATGCCCAGCGAATGATCTTTCACATACCAGGACCCTCCTGGCGATCGAACACGAAACACCTAACTCGGAAACACCGGAAACACCGCTCTCGAAGGGTCCAGGTGCTTCGTGCTCTGATCTTCGTGCTTCGTGCTCAGCACCAACGAGATGCGCGTGCTCATGGGAATGGACTTCCAAATTCCAAATACCTGTGCTGTTGCTAGCCACGAGCAACAAGTGGGAGATGCAGTTCTAAACCCACCCAAGGTTTACAGCTGGTAGCGCGCTACCTCTGCGCGCGGGATGACCATGAGTAAAGTACTCGCGAGGTACTCGTTCTCCACTCACAAAAGGAGCTCCTGACTGAAACTCAAGCTCTATGCCCAGGCACGACCAATGGGATTGGAAGATGCACCTACATTGACCCTGATAAAATGATCATATATATATTTATATTTATATATTGTATATATATTATCTTATATATATGGTATATAATTATGGTATCTTATAACATCTTAAAGCCAACCCAAGGTAAGCTATAGATCCAGTCAACTATGAAAAGAAGGCCCTGATGAGTTCAGGACCGGTTCTTCTTTCGGAGAAGACCTCCAACTCGACTGGGGCTTCTTTGTTCCGCGTCGAGCTCAGCTTGGCTCAGGGCATGGCGCACCAATCTCAGGTGCGCCGCTCTCCCCGTCGGGACGGGACAACTCCCCGCATTGAGGATGTCACCTGGAAACATAAACAGTACTTGGATTTCCCATTGAAATTCCACCAGTTAGGTGGTTTGACCAGGAAAATACACATCACCCACTATATAACTTATAACACTAAGCAAAATCCAGACCCATTGTTGTCCCGTGATTGGCCCCGTCCTGGGCTGAAGACATCTTGTAGACTCTTCGTTGTAGATGTAGAGCAGACTTCAACTCAGTCCACGGTGCATCACGACACCGACGAGCGAAGACCGTTGGAGAAACGCTCCACCAGTGATGTCCAAAACGACCTCCAACAAACAGAACAAAACATATCCTGAAGCTTCCTTCGCTACAATAAGAACGCGCGTTTCACAAAAGTGCTTGTTCAAGCAAAAAGAGCTACACAACTTAATCAAACGCACATGGATCCCTCTCGTTTCCAAACCATGTTGGGGTGGTTCGCCATGGTTTCAAATTGCGCTCGTTTTGCGGCAATTTGTGCGCGTTTTGTTGCATTTTGCGCGATTTTTGCGGGTTTCCAAACAAAACATGTTCAACAATCAGTGTTCAACATCTTCAAAAAAACGTTTGCTTCATCAAAACATTAACACAGTGCGTGTTTCATCAACAAACAACAACGAATCTCTCAATAGTGCTCATTTCCTTGGTTCGCCAGAAAACAAAGTGCTACCATTGCATTATCCCTAGGGATCCAAGTACCTTCTCAGAAGGTGATTGGAGACACTGTTGTGGTTTGGAGGGTCCAAGAACCTTCTGAGAAGGTACTTGCTGAGAAGGTACTTGGATCCCTAGGTACATTAGATATCCTCATTAGATAGTACCAGGGTCCCCCATGGCATGTCCAATTGTTTAACCCCTTCCAAACGTGATTCGGGGTGTGCAGCACCGAACTCCCGTGGTTCTACCAGGTACACATCAAGCAGATCTCTTCCAGCAACCTGCGGAGTTCATGAGGAGCTGAATCCCATGCGCTGCTCCAAGAAGATCCGGGCCCCCGCACGCTTCGGGAGCATGTGAACCTGTTGACTCCAGACTCGGAAGCCGCGCGCGAAGGGTAAATATGCCATACAATTGATTTTTATGTAAAGGCCAGCTGTGGATGGGATCTGCGGAAGGAATGGTCCTTCAAAAGGGTTGATGCAGGAATTTGCTTTTGCATGCTTTTGCTACCTGCACCCGGATCAACAGAACACGAATGAACAAGTTCGGTGATCAGCTGGACGGTCCCACATCTACCTTGGATTTGCTTTAAGTCTTTAAGGAACCTGGAAAAATAACAACTTAACATGACAATAGGGAAAAAACAAATCCCTTATAGGGCAAAGCCAGGCTACAGATTGTAAGGGATCAAGTGACATCCATCTTCAAAGGGCGCAATGTAGAGTGTGGTCAAAACCCTACACCTCCAAGTACCTCCTCAGAAGGTATTTGGACCTCGAAACCCACTCCAAACACCTTCTCAGAAGGTACTTGGAGGCCTGTAGGGAACTGGTTTGAGCTTCATTCAACAGATTCTCTGGGAGTTAGATTCTTTGACTGTTCCAAGAACAAACACCTCCCGTTCAAGCAACACGAGTCGTTGGACTTTCTCACAATTTCCTGCCAACTTGAGCAAATATATGATCTTTGCCGACGTACATCGCGAGGATCTGTGTATCCAGGAATAGTACATCTAGAAAGCCATAGGACAAACACTCCAGGTGCCCTATACCGTAAGATCCCGTAACAGTCTGCAAGGGGCAATGGAGATGGAGCACGGTCAAACGTCGGTCAACTCGTCTTCGACCAGTGTCTTCATGTCATCCGAAAGTCTGGGGGTCTGATGACTCAGTTTTTCCAGGACACGGTCTGGGATGGTCTGGGATAGTCCAGCTAGATACTTCCAGTTTTGGGGCAACATGCCCTTGTTACAAACATGCCGCATACCCATGAAGGGTTTACATCCCATGGAGGGAGCCCAAAAGCCTCCGAAGACATGCGTTTCGGGCCGTCCTGAAGCGGGAAAGCGTCTGTGGATCACGATGGCCTCAGGCAGAGCAACAGGACGAGGACTGTTGCGGATCTCATCTACCCTAAGAGTCCAATCGGCTAACATGTAAACTTTATATATATATATACCCATACCCTGCAGGGATCCAAGTACCTTCTCAGAAGGTACTCGGACCCTCCAAACCTACATAACAGCGTCTCCAATAATTTTCTGAGAATGTACTTGGACCCTTGGATCCCTATAGGGATACATAACTATACACAACAAAAAATGCTCAGAATGGAGAGAATAGAATAGCATTTGAAACTGCGGCAGTGGAGGGAGATCTGACAGGTGGCAGGTTCTGCAATTTGGCCGCAGCAGAATGTCAGATGATGGACTCTCTAAGGCCGAAAGCAGGTAGAGCGTAGCTGCTCCAGAACTTCATCCTCTCACTCCTGGGCCTTTTCTTTAAGGAAAACCCATCGCTTGCAGCTCTCCAAGAAGCTCTCCAACCGGTTGCACCCGCCCGCGCCACCAAACGCTGCGCGTTTGGACCGCCCCAATGTCAAAGGCCGAGGATGTGGTCGGTGCAGCGTCGTTTTCATTCATCGTTGGCGTGTTCCACGGTTTCCGGACATCCAGTGGACCACCTCTGAAGCATCGATCGAGACCAGGGAAGCGGATTCCATGTACCCTACAAATCCGTTTTCTGATGTATACCGAACCTCAGGTTTGGTGATGTCTTGTCTCCACTGAGACATGAGACGGTGCCAGCCAGTCGGGTCCAGTTAAGTACCTTCACCTGAGGTTCAGTACGACTGGATACCTAGAAAAAAAGTGGCATCCAGTCATACCTGGACCGACTGCAAGTACTTTTTAGAAAATGGAACATGACCCCATCAACAAACGGGTACCATCTTGTACCCATTTTCCCATGGCCAGGTGCTTTGAGGCTTCGTTCTCCCAAGGGCAGTGCGAGGGTGGATGCATTCCGACACATCAGACGCTCCCTCTTTGAAGATGTCTTCCTGGAAACTGTGGAATCCCTGTTCCAAACTCCTCCCTAGGATTCCCGGCCCACCATTGATTCACTATCATGTAATCACTTGAATCCAAGTTCAGAACTTGGTTTGATTTCACACTACCAAGTAGCCAGGTCCTAGAATGGTTTCAATTAGCCGCCTTTGTATCGGTTTATCATACCGCTGGTCCAGACATTGGCTCGCACCGTTTGTCTAACGGTGGATCACCGCAACCGCAGCTGATTGGCAGCTAAAAACCCGTGGCACTTGGGGCAGCTCAACCCTTTGTATCTCAAACATGTATCTCAATCTCCTGGACCTTCCCAGTGACCTTTTGGCTTTTACAAGCCTGTTCGTGACCGAACCAACCAGGGGATCAAAGTCGGTCACCGGGAAGATCTCCTGGCTTCTGCTGACCAGTTAGGACACGGTCACCAACTGAAGCTGGCTGGCCTCTGTAGTAGCTACCTTTCGTGACCTGACAAACCTCCTGCCTGCTTTCTCAACACTTGCACGAGACATTGAAACCATTTGCAATGAGAGGGCCGGAACAATGGTCCAAGCTCGAGAAAGTCGCTGGAGACACGAAGCGACAACAGGCCTGGAAAAGTGTCAACCTATTGGTGACGCATGCTTAGTAAGGATCACATGAAATGAACCCTAAGGTATCTCTCATGGGGTGTCAACCAACCTCATTCCGACCAGTCTCTCTCCCAGGTCATCCAACTTTACTCCCGACTCCCAGTCTGACTGGCCCAGATGCAGTCAAAACGACCCTGCTGAGATGCCCCAACTGCTGGCATGGCAACAGCCACAAGACTTCCCGAAGTGACATCGTTTGCTTATGGTGTAGAACACGCAAGGGACGCCTGGCACGGCAGGTGTAGAGCGAGCGTTCCGAACACGCAGGAAAAAGGACGCAAAGGAAAGATGGGACGTCGGAGCGACTTCCACAAGGCCCAAACAACATTCATCTAATCTTGTTCCCCAAAGAACCACTTAGTTACGTAAAAGGATCCTGACCTCACTGCCACATAGTGACCTCACTTGGTCTCCGGTTGCAGGTTTATTGCCGACAAGTTCGGTCACTGGATGAGATTCCAAAGTTCGGTCAAAAACTTTCAGAACTAGTTGTTTGGTACTTGACGTGAAGGGCTTTGAGCCCACTGGTGGCGAATGAATGGCCTCAAGGGCCTTGGCACGTGTTCTCCAGGCACCTTCCCATTCATTGCTACATGCTACAATCACCACTTCACTCACCACGTGTGTGTGACACCACCGTGGCGCTGAGGTCTGGGCAGGTGCCATCCTCATGACTTCGTTCTTGCGCAGATGGTCGACAATTCAGCGACCAGTGCTCAGGCCTCGGGACTAGTGGGCCTCCTAAGAACTAGAGGGGCCCACCCGGTCTTTTCAAGCATTCATCAGGTTACAAAGCCGTAAAACATCTTAAAAGCATGGTACTTCGGGATTCAAGGTATTGGTGGGCCTGGGCTTCATCCGGGTCTTCCCATCCAAAGAGCAGAGCTCTGTGGAGCTCCAGGCTCCAGCACTTCCCGATCAGGGCTCGGTGCCATCCGATCTCCAGACCTCTGGGTGACCATCGACTTCGGTGACCATCGACTCGTTTGGGGTGTGAACACCATCCCCCGAGGTCCGCCCTGCGAAGCACCATCCATTCCCGAAAAATGGCCTGGCACGGCCGTTTTTCAGCTTGATTCTCGATTGGATGATCCTGGATATCCTTGGATCCAGTCCGAACCCTAAAAATGGTTGACCTGAACATGCAAGCACGTTCAAAATACCCAGACCATGCTGGAATCCTTGGACACTCCATAACAGGGTTTGGACCCGGCCTCCTAGCAGGCGTGTTCAAATCCTGTTCTATTGCTTCGGGCTTTCGGATTCTCAAACCATTTACTTTGCCAATGGCTGCTTTGCCAATGGGTCTTCGCTGCAACATCAACCGAACCTCCGATTGATGGGTACAAACAACCACGTTGCCCACTCCGGTGAGGGAACCCTCCGCGAACCACCCGTCGCTGTCCGGTCTCGGTCTTCTCGTTCGTTGCCGAAAGGCGCTCCCAGGGCCAAGGAGATCATCTCTTCTCCACAGAGCTCCTACGAAGGAAAGACCCTGGGCCCGAATCCTCTGGAGGGGTCGGACCCTCATCCTCTGGAGGGGTCTAGGGTCTGAGGGACCAAGGGCTGTTTGGAGCGTCTGAGTACGAAGGAAAGACATGGCTCCAGCAGCCAAAGCGACTGGAAGAGTTGCTGGCTCCAGCAGTCACAAATTCGCTCGGGGTGCCGGTCAGACTAAAAACCACCCCGAGCGACAGTGACACCTGTGACATCATACATGGTCATTTTATGGTCCTGTTCAGACACTGCCCCAATCCCATAGATGGTCAGGGGTTGGATCTACTATTCCATCAGCATCCCGTTGGTCTGGGAAAATGGCGCCAACGACTCATCAGTACACTCTGAGGAACACATGGAAGTGGAAAACCACCCTGTTCGTAAACGGATGGAGATCCTGGAACATAAAGTTTTTGCCACAACGTTCCATCTATTCATTGATGTCCCCAATCGCCCCCAAAAAAGATTGTGCAGGGTGGTCCACTCTTCCTAGGTAGGTTTCAAGGGTCATCTTCGTGATGCACTGGGCTCTGTCCTTCACTTCCTTCAGGGAACGGTGAGAGCGATTGCTAGGTCCGGAGTCCGATGCTCGAAGATCTCCCCATATATAGGACCATCCTAGACACGACCCTGGGCCCGAATCCTTTGCAGGGGTCGGACCCGAATCCTCTGGAGGGGTCCATACCCATAGGGTCCAGGAACCTCCTGAGGATGGTCTTGGAGGTGAGTACGTACTTCCAGAGAATGGTCGAACGGGGGGTCAAAGGACATCCGATTCGGATGGTCCTGGACCCTTAGGGATATGGTTTGCTTCGGGACCCGAGCTGGTGAAACAGGAGCTTCGACCTTGGACCCGGCGATGGTCACCCCAATGGTCACACCGGCGGTCTAAAAGAGGGTTCGGACCTGCCAACTCGTGCCCTGCATGAGTGATGTTCGGAGCGAGCTATAGCACTATCGCCATGCTGGTGTTGCGAGACAACCACCGAATCTGATCTGGGTGCTTCCCTCCCAAGTAGTATTGAAGAAACTCATGATCAAAAAATCACGTAACAAAAAACACATCATTATCACATAATATCACCTTACTAACTCCTCTGGTTGGTAGATTGAAGCATCCCAGCAAGAAGAACCCCCCGCGGCCGGTTTTCTCGCGCCGAAGCAGCTCCTGGTGAAAAACATCCTCGGAAAGGTCTGAACCGGCATCACCTGCCTCCTGCACACGGGCGATGGAGAGCTTCTTCGGTGTTTGGACCCATCGTCAGGGACCCTCAAGACCATACATGTGAGACCTTCTAGCACTGCATGTGATGTATATTCCCTACCAATCTACGGGACTGAATACTTGCCTACATTTGGGTATAGGTAACTATTCCAAACATGGAGTGCTGCATATGTCATCTTTAAAGCTCCTCCAGACTCCAGGTCTACACATATAGCTTTGCTTTGCATTGCGGGTCGTTCCCAGGAGCACCATTCCGGTGAGAAAATCACCCTTACCCATGTGGATCCCAGGCAACCCACGAGTACGTCTAGGAACCAGGGGCCCTTCGGAACCGGTCGAAGTGGTTATCCCTAGGGCTCCTGGCCTGCCTCCTGAGGTACGCTGGTTGGGGTGGGTGCCAGGCGGGCCTAACCACCTTCTGAGGATATAGGCCAGGAGCCCTAGGGTTGGTCGTCGAACTGGAACCACGACGGGACTCCCAGCGACATCGTGGGAACTGCCTGGATGTACTGGGGTAGCTTGTGGCCCACCACGCTCGTCGCCCACCACCCGTATGAGGCGACGCAACGAGGCGCCGTCGTTCCGTCGCCCGAACTCGAAGGAACGTCCAGAACTGCCCTGGTCGTATGGAGTTTCTGAAGGTCGTTGCATAGGACAGCTGGAAAGTTGGAAGGTTGGTTGGTTGGTTGGGTTGGGTTGGTTTGGGTTGGTTTGGTTTGGCTTGGCTTGGCTTGGCTTGGTTTGGTTTGGTTTGATTGTTGTTTGTTCGTAGTCTGTTTTGTTTCCTTTGGATTGGTTTGGTTGGTTTGGTTTGTTTTGTTGATGTTGTTGTTTTGTTTGGTTGGTTGGATATTTTTTGGTTTGTTTGGTTTGGTTTGGTTTGGTTTGATTGTGTTGCTTTGTTTTTTGTTTGTTCGGTTGCTTTGCTTCTTTCGGATTGGTTTGTCAACAGCGCTGCATGGTCAGCCACCATTGCTCCTATGGCCAAGGTACCTACAAAAAACAAGGGTAACTACCTTAGCACAGCAATCGCTTGAGCCCCTTCTTGTGCCTCTTCGTGAACAGGTTGGCGCTCCAGTTCATGATGAGCACCATGGCGGAGTCGATGGAGTTCCACCTAGACAGGTCCACCATCGTCTTCATCAAGCTCTCCATGTCGGCGAACAAGGACGTGGAGGAGTGCAAGATGTACCTGGCGTAGTGCCCGATGTCGCTGGTGCTCCTCCTGTGCGAGATCAATCCCGTGACGATGAACCGGTACACCGGGGTCTTCAAGATGTCCTTGATGCTCGTGCCGGGGACCATGCTGTCCTTTGAGTGGTACTTGTCGATGAGCAACTTGGTATAGGTATAGGTTGGTCTATTTTGTTTTGCTGTGTTTGCTTGTTTGTTTGTTTGTTTGCTTGCTTGGTTGCTCCTTTGTTTGTGTTTGTTTGTTTGGTTTGGTCTGGTTTGGCTTGGTTTGGTTTGGTTTGGCTTGGTTTGATTGTTTTGTTGTGGCATTTGTTGTTTGCTTTGCTTCGTTTGGATTGGTTTGGTTTGATTGTTTTGTATTGATTTTTGTCTGTTTTGTTTGGTTCGGATCGGCTTGGTTTGTTGTTTGTTTGTTTGTTTTTGTTTTGGCTAGTTGTTTGTTTGTTTGGTTTGGTTGCTGTGTTTTGTTTGTTGTTGATGTTGTTGATTAAGGTGAGTGAGGGTTGTCAGATTTTAAGAGCCGCAAACAACAAGACACACTTGCAGTCCGCAGCAGGTGAAAAAGTTAGATGCGTGCAGCAGGTGAAACGTGTATTTATCCTCCACACTAACACCCGACATACCTCTCTGCTTGATGTTCATGTTATATGTTTTTTGGTATGGCTGTATGTTTTTTTAGTATGGCTAGAACGGGGATGCCCCCTTTGCTCGCGAAATCTGATGGTACAGTATGGAGTTGGCACCGCTCAAAACATCTCAATGTCATTCATGCGCCGAAACAAACATGCGAAACATCGACGAAACATGACGAAACCATCGATGTGTGGATGTTTGGATCGCAGCCGAAACAAAAAACGAACAAAATCGACTTCGGAGCGTGCCGACCTCTGACCTTTCCACCTCCTTCGCAGGGGCCTCAAGAGTTTCCTGCCGTGCGCAGAGTCGCTGGAGGTGCCAACCCCGTGGTTCTAGAAGTGGAGCGCTGGATGGGCGTGGGCATGAGAGATTTGGCCTATGGAAGGGAGTATGAGGAGGTGAGATGGTGGGAACCGTTGAAGATCGCAGATCGCAGGGCGTTGGAGCTCTCATGTTGCACCAAACTTCCCTACCCCTACTGGAAGTGGGATGAAGTGGGAGGTGTGCGAAAATGTAAGCTACAGTTTCCAATTTATACATTTTCCAGCACGCCCCAAGGGATGTCTAATGAATAGCCCATTAAAGGTAGAGGGGTGTCCATTAACCACCCCTTTGTGTTCCTGGCTCACAGCTTCAACGACGAACTGAACATGCAATCCCAGAATGGAGCCTGTTGGACCCTGTTGGCCCAAACGATGCCCCGCTGGAAGTCCAGGAGATCGAAGGATCGGGTTCTGGGACTGCCACTGGGACTGCCATAGGACTGCCGGTCCATTGACCCCCCAAACCACCGCCCCTGGCCTGATCGGCATTTATGGCAGTCCCATGGAGTGTGTGGGAATGGTACGTTTGACTTCTAGGGATCAAGTAGATATGACTCATACCTGGATCCTCCTTTAGGCTAAAAAGAAGTGCCGGACCTCAGGCGAAAAAACGCCGGGGACCTGGAACAACAGCCGGATCCAAGTTTTTGAAAAACCCAGATGATGAAAGAGGTTGGGTCATACACAAGCAAACTGCCTTTGCGCCACAATTATAAGATTTTCTGGAACACACTCATTCCACAACCCAATCACTGGAGCCTTCCCGTTCCCATGGCCCTCGCCCATCTTCCGAAATGCCCAAGAGCAGAACCTTCACAAATATAGGCAAACTTGTGCCCAAGCAAAGACTTCCAAGAACAAACCAAGGAGTATGTGGCAAGGAGCCCCTCTTTCTCTGCAGCCGTGTCTCTCAAGCTCTTTTACAAAGTGGGTCGCTTCCTGTCCACGCAACACTTTATTGAGCCTTCTGCAAAATTGCATACGACAGTGCTTGACCTGTGTCAGAGGGCATCCTTTGCGCTTTGCCAAGGTCACGTACACACAAGTCAGAGTACAACACCGCCTCGATTCAGGCGAGCCTTCAAGCCAAAAAAGCGCTCCCGGAGGTTTTGTCGGAAAATCATGGATGCGATCATCAGAAAAAACGTTCATCGTCCAACAAGCGGGTTTATCACGCTCATCTCTGCTCCAAAATTCCGAACACAGGGCACCGCATCTGCCTTTGTTGCGTCCGCTCAAAAAGACCCAAGGCTTCAAAGCGAGACCGTGCTTGTCACACGTTCCATATTTAAATGTACGCGGACGTTGCGCAACTTGTTGAAACACCTGCGCGCGTGCAGAACCTGGCAAAGAACCAGGAACCGTGTTCTTTCCTAGGGAATTCCACTGCATTGCACTTCGTGTCACCCCCCCACCCCCCCCCACGGTCAAATAGTCCTTGGAGAGAGTAAAAATGGTCCGGAACGCAGGGGTCACTGATGACGCCGGCAGCCAGAACAAACGAAAGGAACCGAACATTGGGGTGATGTTGAACATTTTAAGATGTCTTTAATTAGGGTCAATTTGGTCAATGTAGGTGAATATTCCATGACATGCTTAGGGAATCATTTCACAATGACTCAACAAACGTAACATGTGAAGCTTCTGTTTCCATCGTTGAACGCCCAACCAATCCCGAGGGCTAAGTACACCAAACTCAAAACCACCAGTCCGGAAACGGCCTGGCTCCCGAGCACCGGCCGACCGGGGTGGTTGTTGATGCCCCAGACCTGGACCCGACATAGGTACCTTCAAACCATCGGACATGTCCATCATGTCCCTTTTGAACCAACAGTGGCAGGTACCAACTTCACCCTACAAGTCGTGGCCTGAATCCCGAACCACCATGGTTTTACTAAGGGTTTTACATTACAAAACCAGATCAACCATGTAAAAAAATGGTCGACTTGACTTCCATGGCTTCATTTATCTTAAGATATCTTCAGTGGTCTGAGTTCCGAACTGTGTTTTCGCTGAGCTGCGGTTGAGGTTCTGGTCGTGGACACGACTATCACTCTGGGCCGTCTCTGGGCATCGGACGCAAGTACTTTGTAATGGAATCTTGTTCTGCGTGGCTTTCTTTCCTCGCAGGAGTCGCCAGAAGCCGCGCCAGGTGCGAACTGACTGCAAAGTGCGCAGCAAAAACACACCTTGGAAGAGTGCGGCTCAGCAACCCAGCGCACTCAAATGACGCGTATACCAGTGAAAACCCATGAATTCTATCCCGCACTAACCTACCGGCACCCGACTTCACAGTTCACCGCCCAAGAATGCAGGGCACAGTTCATCGCCACCCGGTCGACTCGGAGACCTGTCGACATCGTAGGGACAGGCCAGGCGAGGTATAGAGTGTGTTGAGTGCCAATCCTTTGGTGGGGATCTTCCAGAGTACCAATCCCAAAATCAGCCCAGCTGAGATCCTTGGAGAGCTGGGGAGACCCAGGGAGAGCTGGAGACCCTGGGAGATGTAAGGCTGAGATCTATGGTAGAACAGGGTGACATGCGAGAGTCCAGGTCGTCCACTTTGAGCCATGTTTTGGCTGATTTCACCTATTTCTGGCTGGTTGCACTCCCGACAAGTTGGATCTTCCCAATTTCAGTGCACGTGCAGATTTTTCATCCATAAGACCTCGAGCTATAGATGTCTTCGTCTGGCGGGGTCTATAAACCACTCGAACTAGATGCTTCTGGTATGTGCTGGACACATGTGAGGTGGAATGCTCCCGGGATCTGCCTGCCTATATCACCTGAGTGGCCTCCACTGGACCCACCCAAACACCCCCAAATTGTCTTAAGTCCAACACCCCAGGACCTCCCAACAAAAAACGGGAAGCGACGTGGACCCGACCTGGACGCTTTCGGCTCTCGGTGAGCCCGGCCTGGCCACTTTTCTTCAGGTCTTGAAACCGAGGCGCCTCACACCGAGCACCGTCGAGCGAGCGACGACTGACCTGATGGACCGACCTGGAACTCGGGGGCCGCTCGGGTTCCGCCCCAGTCGTACCGTACCGGGTTAGCTGTTTTTGGTACTATAGGGTCAGTCATGTCCCGTTTATTCTATAGGGTACGAACGAAGTCGGGTCCAGGTGACTTGTATGACCAGTTAACAACCCTAAGAATCCGGGCCCGAACCAACCGAATCCGGGCTTGATTCGGGCCCGGATCCCTGCTAAGAGGTGGAGAAGGTCCGACCCCTGCTATGGAGAGCCCGTTTGGATTCTTAGGGAAGTGAACATGAGGGTTTTTCTGGCAGGTGGTTAGATCGGTGTTGGTACGTAGTAAGTTTACCAGTAAAACAGTTCGGTGTTCTTCGGAATTCAAACCATTGCACTTGTGGTGGGCCAGGAGGCCAGCCTAGGGCCTAGGGTCCATGTATGGAAGAGTTGCATAAACTGGTTACATGTCTGGAGGGTCCAGGTAGGCTCTCCCAGAGTAACATGTCTCTCCTGAAGGAACCATTTGATTTGCTTTGCCCAGGCATGCGACCCTGGGCCCGAATCCTTTGGAGGGGTCGGACCCGAGTCCTCTGGAGGGGTCTGGGGTCAAACCATTCCCTAGCTACAAGTAGGATCAAGTAGGCTTTCGAGGGACCAGTCGGGCTGTGAACGGAGCGTCTGGGTGCTCTATTTCGATCATGCTCACTGGTTTGGTCTTCTCCGGGTTGGGAAGGGCCCGAATACAAGCCGAACCGACCCTTTTTCAGTGAGGACGCTGGTAGAGTGTGGAAGAAAAGGCTGACTCTTCCAAGATTAAAGCATCAGGCATCTTCCAGATGGAAGCCCAAAACGACTGTAGTAGCTGTATGCCTCTGTTTGCCATTGACAAAGGATTCCTGGCAAACCATTGATTGAATTGCCTGAATTCCAAACAACATATAGCTTGACCGAAAGATTGCAGTACAAAACCAGACCTACCAAATTCTTTCCATGGTTTTGTGCAAGTTTATGTCATGTTTCCACCCGGACCGCGTCCCTCATCCTCCAGCGTTTTCATTGGCCTTCAGCTGCGTCGTCCGGCCGCAGGAAAGGCATCCTGAAGCGATCCAAAAGCCGACGACTAAGCGAAGCCCCGCCCTCTTGGACTTGCTGAAGGAACCTCGAAAAAAACAAGAATATTCCCCACCAGCTGCTTCCAAGGGCATACCTGGCTGGACAACCCCACACATAGGTCACTAGGTCACCAGACAGGACAACCAGACAGGAAGCGAAGGCGCTAGGCAGGTTTGGGGATTTCCCCAGGAACCTCTGAGAAACCATGAAATCACCTGATCCGCAAAACCAGGTCCTCTGCCCATTCTGCCCCCAGGAAGGAGCACATCTTTGCTCAACTCTTCAGCCGACCTCGCTGTGACGACCTCGTGAATGACCTCGCTGTGACACACCCAGCAGTCACCAAGGGGGTGCTATCCATGAAGTCGGGGTGCCCCTGTCACATCCACAGCCCCTGGATGGGACTCAACACCTGACTCCTGGACTCCTGAACGCGGAAACTCTTTAAGATCCCTATAGGGATCCAGTCGTACCTTCTCAGGTACTGTGATTGGAGACTGTTGATGTAGGCACCTGGGTCGGGCCCAGTCGTACCTTCTGAGAAGGTATGTGGATCGCTATAGGGGATTGGTATAAGTTGAATTAACTTGATATTTTGAATTTGTCTATACCCTAGACCTCCAGTCATACCTTCTGAGAAAGTGGGACTGGGGTTATTGCCAGGAGGGTTCAAATACCTTCTGAGGAGGTACGACTGGAGGTGTAGGGATATATACCTGGACCCTCCGTTTTCTCTCGGTGAACCATACAGCCAAAATCACATCACATCACCGGAAAACAGCCCAACCAATGCCGCCGACCCCCTTCCTGCCCGGGCCGCGACCAAAAATAGTCCTCATTCGTTTCATTGCCATCAACGGTATGGGTGGGCTCGAGCGTGGGCCCTGAAGAGAGCACGGGTGGCCCCGCAGACCAAAATCCAGATGCTGCATCGAAGCAAGAATTCTCTCAAATCACCGGTCAGGCCGGGAAGAAACATGACCAAAACCACTTCAATTGAGAGATGGCACAGACCCCAATGCCGGTGGTTGGACCCCCTGTCTAGGACATCTTGGGGTCTGTGCCATCGAACCTCTGAAACCACAGTGCATGGAGTCACATCGAGGCAGCCTGGTGCCGGTTCCGAGTTCGGAGGAAGGATGGAGGGAGTTGTTGCCAGTGAAGAAGCGAGGGTTGTGCTCCAAGAGCCTCCAGTGAGGGAACGTCGAATTGATCATGGTCCACATCCCAGACACGACCTGCCTGGGACTGCCATACCTCTAAACCCCTCTGGCGGCACCACCCCTGGCCGAGGAGAAACTCGGCTGTCCCATCAGCGGAGAAATCGACGGAAGCCTTGCGGATCTAACCTTTGAGTTCCTTTTGGCGGGTGACCGATGCTGTAGACCCCGGTGCTGGCTGTAGACCCCGAAAGGAGCGAAAACACCGAAAGGGTCGTGGAACGGACCGAGCTGTAAAGGAAGTATGTGTAAACGCATACTTCGTCGAGTTAAACATCCCTAAGAATCCGGACCCGAAGCAACACATAGGGTTTGGTTCGGGTCCGGACCCCTGCGTTTCGAGGTCGGGTCCGACCCCTGCCATGGAGAGCCCGTTCGGATTCTTAAGGATATAGACATTCCGGACTGCCATAGGACTGCCGCAGTCCCGAGTGTCTGCGTATCAGACCAGCATCGCGGAAACTTTGGGACTCTCCGCACCCTCCACTCTCCGCTGACCGGGGCTATATGTGATGGGACAATGGCTGACCTGCGAACCACGAAGGATGAACCTTCGCGTTGACCGAAAACCTATCCGTTGTCAGCTGGTCAATAATGTGATGCCTCAAGGAAGAAGAAGCTGCACATCATTTTGCTCAACTGGTCTTGAGAAAAGTCCCTGTCCTAGAAGTCCAACTGATTATCTTCTCGTCAGTGAATTAATCTGCCGATCCCTCAGTCAGATATTGTTTCTGTGATATATATATATACTGTATACCAGCTAAACCAAAAGTGCTAGAATTGTTACACCGTCTTTCAAAATGTACATTTTTGAGAAATACATACTCAATGATAATAATTTCAATTTCGTTTTTTAAAAGTTACACTTTTACTAAATACATACTCAACTTTAATATCTCCGGGTTATGATTAATGATGAATAGTACAGTATATGATGAATCAAGTACAAACAGGAGTCTCTGATGAATAGTACAGTATATGCGACTTCCCATGAGTCTCTGACAGGAGACTCTTCTTCATTGCCAGCACAGCATCATCAGTAAGCATGGCTGCGCCCTCAACAAGGTCTGAACAACTCCAAACACGGCTCAGTAGTGGCACCATGTGATCCCCAATGGCTACATGCAACAATCACTGGATTACACAATACATGCTCATGTAACACCATTACATGCTCATGATCTCCGCTCAGAATCCGGGTTTCTCCGCTCAGAGTCCGGTTTTGTCCGGGTCTAGTCCGGGTCAGTATTTTCTCCGGGTCTTAATTTCTATTTCTCCGGGTCACGTGTTACCTAATACATGCTCACCAGTCCTAATACATGCTCAACCCATTTTCTCCTATATCACGTTAATCACGCTCGCATTCTATATCTATACCTATGCCCACCGGTGGCCTCAAATTTCATCCGAGAGGTGAATCTTAAGAAATTTCCTCCGACTCAAGAAAAACAGTCGATTCAAAGAAAAAGTTCCGATTCAGTGTTTCTTGGTGGATCTATGCCTCTTTGGGGTGGAGGATTGCACGGTTGTTTGGAGAGCTGCCACGCCAGAGCTGTTTGACCAAACTCTAGGACCATGGACTGCATCAGAACTGCATAGCAGCCGAAAGCACTCATGTCCAAAGAGTTTCAATTGAACCATGGTGGAAACCTCCTGAATCCAGTTCACTGTGCTACTTGGTCCTGGTAGAAGTGTCCCACTACAGTACCAGCCCATTAGAATGGAGCCAGGCAGTCAGAATCACTTTTTCCTTTCAGCGGACCTGCCATGGTACTGTTTGTCCGGGCCTCAACACGTCTTCAAGCCGACCGCTTCGGAAAGGCACGCTTGTGCAAAAAGTGGCATTTGACATAGAACAATTCTAGGCACCTCCGCTCCATCACTCTGCTGTCAACACGACGACTCAGCCGCGAAACACGGCCAACGCAATCTTCGTTGATCTCGCACGAATGGATGAAGGGATTGAAGAAGTGACTGGCTCTTGGGTCTTTCAAAGCCTGAAACAACTCGTAGGCTTCATGTTTCCAAGCATGCACCTTGTATACCATCGCATAGGCAGTCACGCCATTGTTCAGGCAATAGTTGGCCAACCAATTGTATCCGTTCAGGATGCCTGTCATTTTTTCATACAGGTGTACTGCGCAACGTCGTGGCAACAGTAAACGGTGAGTTGTCATAAGACTGAACGCACTGTCAGCAGCTTGGAGCATGGCTCTCATGATCTTCAACACTTGAACATGCTCCGGCTTTTGGGGCTGGATCAGGATTTGTCCAACATAGGTATCTAGCCAGCGTACCAACAGCATGCAATCAGATCCCTTAGTGTTAAACCAGGGGCTGGTTGCCAGGTCTGGCCAAGACATCAGTGACTTGCTAAAGGACCTGAGAGCCGGGGTCTTTTTGAAAGTAGCCGCCCAGAGTTTGAAGTGGCCATACGCTCTTCGGATAAGAACTGGAATGCCATTCCCATCAGGCGAATCCATGTCATGGAGGTAACCCCAAAGAATCAGCATTGCTAGGGTCGAGGCAGCTGCATGACGAAACAGGCCCATTTTGCAAGTGTGAAAGGGGTCCCTTTTGTGCAATCTTCAAGGGCCAGGGGCGCAGTCCTATCACCACTGACCCTTCCATCCTCAATGGCCAGGGGCCTGGCTGAATCCTGAATAGCTGGGGCCATCAATTGGGCCAATCGGGCGGGATCCACAGTCTCAAAGTGTTGGTCAAGGAACTCCTAGAATGGTACCAAGTGCGGGTCCTCAATGATTGCAATATTGCGATGAAATACGAGAATGGAACCCCAAGGACTTCTATTTTGCAGTCTATGCCGAGGTATGGGCATAAAAAGAGTTAAACGAGACGAGACACAGAGAAAAAATTATACAAGCATAGACCCCAAACAGCCTCAAAACGATTCAACGATTCGTTTAAGACCAATATTAGTCATCAAAAAACGATTTCTTGGTTCGCCCTACTTTCACCCCAAGAGCAAACTGCTTCATCAATGAATTTTTGTCGGCATTGACACTGAAACACTGAAACATTTTTGGAGGAGCAGCTAGTATTCATAAATATGGGAGGTGGAAGAAGATATAGAAAACTAAGCGAGGATCAAAATGGCGGAGAGCTGCTCATTATTTATATATATGGGAGGTGGATGGAGATATAGCAAACTAAGCTCAGAAAACTGAAAACACAAAACTTTTTGAGTGACCCTAGTTGTTTGTTTGTCCTTCTTGGAAAGGTGCGGACGCAGAGCCGGGCCACAGAGTTCAGGGGCGCGGCCAAGACAAGGACAAGAGGAGGACAAGACCCGGACACAGAGCCGGGCCACAGAGCCGGGCCACAGAGTTGCTGTATACTAGGAGGACAAGAGGGGGACAAGGCCCAGCCACAGAGCCCAGCCACAGAGTTGACAGAGTTCAGGGGCGCGGCCACGAGGAGGACAAGAGGACAAGGCCCAGCCACAGAGCCCAGCCACAGAGTTGACAGAGTCCAGGGGCGCGGCCAAGAGGAGGACAAGGCCCAGGCGCGGGGCCATGATGCAAGAAATGCGGACCCGCCCCTGGCCAACCCAAGAGGAAAAATTACCACTACATTGACGTACGCAGGGAACTCTGCAGTCGTCATGTCAATCGTGCAGACATCCACTTGTCTTCACACACTAAAACATTGCAGTTTTTTAGGCTTGCAGAATAGCGGACGGGCTTCACCAGACAGCCACAGAGCCCAGCCACAGAGTTGACAGAGTTCAGGGGCGCGGCCAAGAGGAGGACAAGGCCCAGCCACCACGGAGCCCAGCCACAGAGTTCAGGGGCGCGGCCAGTGAGTGTGGCCAGCTCTTTTCTTTCTAAGATAGAACCCCAACAGTAAACTGTTTGGGGAATAAACTGCTTTGACAAAGCTGAGTCAAGGAGCTCTTGGTGTACCACTTTCACTCCATCGTCGAAAAGCCAGGGTGACCATGCGTTTGATCCCCCAGCTGTCCAAGTGCACAGTCGAAGTGGGGACCTTGATCATCATTTTCAGCCAAAAAGCCCGAACCTGAAGGGAATCGTTGATGGATGCTCAACTTGTAGAATCCCCAAAAACCTTATTTTGCAGTACCATTGTGCACTCTCAGCCATTCTTTAAACATCACTTTGGTGGAAAACATAACCAATGAATACCAATGATAGTTTTATCAAGAACCAGGCCTCAACCCGAAGGACATCGATTGGTAGCTGCCGTGGGATGGACGCTATTCCCACAGTTTCCTCCGAGGGCCACTCAGTCAATTGCTTGGTTTCCCGGGCTCTTGCCCGGATGTCAGGGTCTTTTTCCAATAGTAGACCCAAAGAGCCTACCTCCCCCAGCTCTGCCATTGGCTGAGGTTCAAAAACCAAGCGAGGAGCAAGAACGGACTGCAGACTTGAGCTGAAAAGGAAAAAGGTGGAACAAGTTCACCTGTGCTGCGCTCTGATGCTCTCTTAAAGTGGTGTAAGCTTGCTAGCTGTTCCAGCCTCACCCATCATGAGGTTGTTCATCAAAAAATGGCACCATGAGGTACCTCTGCCACTTCAGATGGGAACACAATTCCAACTGAAGCAGTGCCAAAGCGCACTAAAGAAGCAACGGTGAAGATCAAGAATGCCCAGCAGCGTACATGAGCCATTGAGCTGCCAGCACAATCCCTTAAAAATTTACAATACCTTCAAACCCATCAAAAACCAAAAAGCTCCGAGAGCATGAATTTCTGCCGACTCAGGTCAGACTCCTTGAAAAGTATGTTTTTTCTGAAACTCAAGTTATTTGTACCCCTGCGGTTGTCATAGGTATACAATATGGGAAGGTGTTCTTCCATCGGGCTGGCACCATCAAATTCTTGGAGCCTCTCATGTAGACAATGGCCTCCTCCAAGCAAGCCTGCCCGGAGATATTCAAGTATATGACCAACAGTATATGATGAATCAAGTATACTGCAATGCATGT